TTCAGGATAGGAAGCCTACTGGTGCCACTTCTGTAAGAGCAAAAAAACCTCTTCTGCTTAAGAGGAGTATAAGCACTAAAGGCCTCAGGCCTGTGGAAAGCGGACATTGAGATGCCTAAGAGCGCCTCTGTGGCGTTCAGAACTTAATAAAACAAACAAAACAAAACAAAACAAAAATCACCCTCCTCCCATATTAAAGGCAACAGAAGGGCATTTCCTGCTGTTTAAGTGCTTCTTGAAAATGCCCTACAGCTTCATCTGCATCCTTAAGCATACACACATGTTTTGAAAAAGAAAAGCTTTTTTGTTTGCTTGTATGTAGGTGCATTTAAATCATACAGTATTCAACATTGATCCATCCACTGCTGCTGACATGTGTTTATCCAGTCCCTTCCAGGAGCTCTCCCTTTCACAGTCCACATGGGTTTATGCTAACATTGGAGTTACAGCTCCCTGCATGTGTTTTGCAGTAAGAACATGGATGTGACCAGGGAGGAAAGCAGTAGCCCAGGTGTTTTGGACAATGCTGAAATAATATGAAATATGAGTGCTTAATACTGAGTGATGTGAGACCTCACAGTGGTGGCTTGGGTAGAATGTTGCAGCATTGGTTCTAAACCATATTTTCATATTTGTCTGACAGCTAGACTGCAACTCAGCTTCTATAACTCTGTCTCCTTTGATCATCAGAGTTTTCATTCTTAACAAGGTAAACAGCGTGTCTGCTGTGGGCAAAGGGGAATATTCAGATAGTTAAAATGGCTTTTGGGCCATCCTGGTTGTTGCCTCCTGCATATTCTACATGCTGCAGAATTTCTTCAGTCACTCCTTCAAAGCTGAAACTGATATGGACTCTTAAAATTGGCTGTCTGCCCTAAAGGCATCTAGACCTTAATGCCCAAAAAAGCCTCAGGCTGTCTCTGCATTTATGAACCACCTGTAGGTGTTAGAAATTTTAAGGGAAGAAACCTAGCTGAGTTTTGAACTGCCTTTTCTTTGTTTCGAGTAAATTTTGGTCTCCACCAAGACTTGCTTGCCTCAATGATATTTCAGAGCCAAGGCTCTGATGGTTGAGATTTCCTTAACAAATATTAGCCAGTGTTTATTGCTTGACTGATTTTTAAAATGCAGCTTTTATCTTTCTGATTTCTAGGTGGGAACCAAATTGAACAGCAGTAACCATGGAAGATGCTACAAAACCTTGCTTTGCCAAACAAGAAGAATTAAAAGGAAGTCCCTTAGAGAAGGACTGCCGAGTCGTGGATGAATTTGGAAGTGGCCATAGCAATAAAACAGATACCAGCCTTCAGAAGAAAAAGGGAGCATCAGGTTGTTACGGAAGCAGTCCCAGGCAAGGGCCACGTGGTGTTTTGAGTGGCCCAGGCTCACTTAAAACTCCAAACTACAGTCCAGGGTCAAAGTTAACTGATACCCAGAGAGACCAAATGAAGAAGTGGCTACTTGATGACCACCGTGGTACTCCTGACACCTGGAGAGAGTACCGATCTGTTGCCTGGATGCCTGTGCATAGCAGAATGAGAAGGGACTCCTCTCATGAAGGTGCTGGAACCAGAAGTGCAAGACAGCAACTTCAGGAAGACTTACTGAGTGCAGATGTACCAGACATGCAGAAAGGAAGTTCTGGTAATCAACATGTTTGTTTCTTTATACGTAGCCATACAGTAAGGTAGCTTCCTGCTTTGGTTACTGAAAAATAAAATTTCTAGATTCACTATCAAAGCAAACTATCATTTTGTTCTGTCATATATTACATACTTTCGACTGCACTGTACTGCAGTACTTTAAACAAATGGTTACAGCAAATGAGACAGAACTTGTTTTTTAAATTGTGTTGTCTTTGTGAGTTGGTTTCTAACTGCTAGGAGTAAGTAGATTGCAGCATCTGTATAGTGTTCCTGTTGCTGTTTTCCCTGTACAATTCAATAGAGTCTGTCAAGGCCGATGAGGGATGTTTCAATTAAGTTCATACAGATTTTGGTGCTACCAATGAGGTCTGGAACAACTTAATGAAAATTGTAAACAGTGCAGCATCAGTGTTGTGAGAACTTAATACAACAATAACACAAATCTGATTCTCCATACATACTGAACTTCTCTATGCGGAGCTGGTACTAATAATGAGAGTACAAGCTCAAAGCATTGAAATGCAAGGAATGACAGGCTGAGGGACAATAAAGTGATCAATAACGTAGTAGCTTCATTCAGTGCATGTAAAGCAGAAAGAGGAAGCTTTAAAGGAAAGTATAATTAGGTAAAATAAGAAAGACTAAGGCACAGGTGAGGTGCTGCTAACACGGAACACCTGATGACAAGAGATCTGTCTTGTTTTAGTTAAGAGTGGGAGCCATAGACAGTCTCGATCTGACCCTTTGCTGAGAAAAAAAGCTATTGCTGGTTGGTACCAGTAAGTCCAGGAATTAAATGTCCTTTCCTTTGGTATCAGTTGTCACGAAAAAGATAAACTGTGAGGAGGTGCCCAGTGCCTCTCATTGTTACAGGTAAGCTGCACGCAGCTCAACCTCACATGAGGGGAGAACAGAGTAGAATGATTTCACAAGTTCTTGAATTTGTTGGATGTAATGAAACTTCAGGAACTCACTGAAATAGATTTCTGGAACCACTGGCCGTCATACTTAAGGAATTATTCAGAAGAAGTGAGATTTTGACATGCAGGAAAGGGCAAGTGTCTCTTAAAGGTGGAATTTAAAAAACCACCACTTTAATCTTGGGAGTCTGTTTTGCACCAAAGAATATAATCTACTGTAAGTATTTGAAAGGTAGCAAAGAGATAAGTAGTAGTAAGTGTGGATTTATTCAGGAAAAGGTATGCCAAGTCCTAATATATTTATTTAAAGTAATGATCAGTCCCCTGTGCTTATGGCAAAAGCAGTTGGTAGATATTGCTAATACTAGTACTTTACTACTTTAGACACTCTTCTGTGAGTTCTGTAAGTAAACTAGAGGAAAATTCTCTGAACTAAATTAATGCAAGAGACTTGCAGTGCTAATTAGGTAACTATGCTCAGAAAATACTGAAGATTTTGTCAGAATTATAAGAAGCATTGAGCAAACATCTAGCGAGCGAGGATTCTATTCCATTCAGTGTTTATTATAATACTCTAATGATGAGTGAAGACACCATGCTTGTTAATTGTGTGCTGTTAAAATTGAATATGCTGTGGAGCTGGTAGGAACGGAATGCGGAAAAGCAGGAAGGTCAATTAAAATAACTATACACAACTGGAGAAGTGACCTACATGTAGGATGAAATACAAAGGACATGTGAATGCCATTTTTCAAGTAGGAATGTCAAGTGTACAAACAGATGAGGAAAAGTTATTATAAAGTAGTATTTTTTCAGAGAAGAATATGAAATCATAGTGAATCTGATGGTAAAGAATATTGAGTGTCATGGTGTTGTGAGGCATTCCAAAAGACTTGCAGCCTCAAGTACCCCTTTTTCTAAAAGTCTTTTGTAAACTCAGTTGCAGTACTCTGTCCAGTTTTGGCACCTCACTTGTATGAATAAAATGGAAAGAGTTTGAAGAAGAGGAAGATTGCCAGGACACATAGAAAACAAACTGCTCAAAGTGTAAACAGTGTGCAGCTTTGCTGCGAATGAATGGGTAGGGAGGAATGATAACAGTCTTCTGCTGTCTAAAAAGGTAGTAGAAAGCTGATGTAGTAATGTGTTGTTTCTTTTCAAGCAAATGAGATATAAAGCAAATGGGCTTAAAATTGAGCAGAAAAGGTTTAGATGAGGAATAAAGGGAAAATTTCACAGAATTACAGAATCAGTTAGGTTCTGAACTGCAGGAGGTTATCTCGTGTAACCTCCCTGCTCAGGCAGGATCATCCTAGAGCACTTGGCACAGAATTGTGTCCATACAGTTCTTGAATATCTCCAGTGATGGAGAATCCACAACCTCTCTGAGCAATCTGTTCCAATGTGCAGTGACTCACACAGTAAAATTCTTCCTTGTATTCAGGTAGAACTTCCTGTGCATCAGTTTCTGCCCACTACCTTTTGTTTTATTGGTTGGCACCACTGAGAAGAGCCTGGCTCCATATTCTTGGCACCTCCCTCTTCAGATACTTGTAGGCATTAGAGGGCTCCTCTCAGTTGTCTCTTCTCTAAACTGAACAGGCCCACTCCCTCTGCCTTTCTTGTAAGTGAGGTGCTCCAGTCCCTTAATAATCTTTGTTACCCTCTGTTGGACCCACTCCAGGAGCTCTGTGCCCCTCTTGTACTAAGGAGCCCAGAACTGGACACAATACTTTAGGTGTGGCCTGATGAAGGCTAAGTAGAAGGGCAAGATCACCACCTTTGACCTACTGGCAAGTTTCTACTGGTACTGCTAAGGAAGTACCAGAGAGATTGTTTAGACAGCTCATGGAATGGGTAGATACCTGAAGGCCTTTAAGAACAGGTTGGCTTAGCATTGCTCAGGGTTGACAAAGTTCATGTCATAGAGTCATCAAGGTTGCAAGAGATCTTTAAGGTCATCAAGTCCAACTGTCCACCTAGCACTATCACTGCAACCACTAAACCATATCCTCCAGTGTCAGATCCAGAAACCTCTTAAATACTTCCAGGGATGGTGACTCTACCATCTTCCTGGGCAATCTGTTCCAGTGCCTGACCACCCTAATAGTGTAAACTTTTTCCTAACATCTAATCTGGATCTCCCCTGTCTCGGTTTACAGCCATTCCCTCTAGTCCTCTCCTTAAAGGCATGGCAGGAGAGACCATCCCCCACCTCTCTACAGCCCCCTTTCAGGGAGCTGTAGAGAGCAATGAAGTCACTCCTGAGCTGTCTCTTCTCATGGCTAAACAAACCCCATTCCCTTAGCCATTTCTCACACTACATGTGTTCTAGATCCTTTATGAGTCTCATTGCCCTTCGCTGGATTTGCTCCACCACCTCAATGTTGTTTTTCAAGTGAGGGGCCCAAAACTGCACACAGTACTCGAGGTGTGACCTCACCAGTGCCGAGTACAGGGGGATGATCACTTCCCTAGTCCTGCTGGCCACATGGTTCTTGATACAGGGCAATATTCCATTGGCCTTGGCCACCTGTGCACACTCTTGGTTAATAGTGAGCTGCTGTCCACCACCACACTCAAGTCCTTTTTTGCTGAACAGCTTTCAAGCCACTCCTCCCCCAACCTGTAGGGGTTGTTGTGTCCCAAGTGCAGAACCTGGCAGTTCACCTTAATGAACATCAATAATTTGTCCTCAGCCCATTGAATCTGTCCAGGTCTCTCTGTAGAGCTCTCCTGCTGTTAGGCACATTGACGCTCTCACCCAACTTAGTGTCATCTGCAATTTACTGAGAGTGCTCACAGTCCCCATATCCGGATCATCAATAACGATAAGTAGGACTGGCCCCAAAACTAAGTCCTGGGGAACATAGCTAGGGACTGGTCACCAATTGGATTTAGCTCCATTAACCACACCTCTCCGGGCCTGGTCATCCAGCCAGGTTTCTGCCCATCAGAGTCCACCCATCCAAGCCATGAGCAGTCAGTTTTTCTAGCAGATACTGTGGGAGACAGTGTCAGATGCTTTACTGAAGTCCAGAAAGACTACTTCCACAGCCTTTCCCTCATCCACCAAGAAAGTCACTTTGTCATAGAAGGAGATCAACTTGGTCAAGCAGGACCTTCCCTTTGTAAATCCGTGTTGTCTAGGCTTCATAAATGTATTTGGTAGGACAGTTGTATATTATCGGGGGGTTTATTGTTGTTTTTTTTAATTATTACATATTAAAATGTTATGCTATGATAAGGGTTTGGAAGTCAAAGGAATTTGTATAAAGTTTCTTAGAAGAAGGGAAGCTTTAGAAGTTCTGTGCATCTGGACACTCCATATAGCTGTGCAAGTGAAAGGTAAGATGCGATCTAAAGTCACATGCGGAAATCTGACCTGTGTATATTCATTCCTGAGATGATTTTTACAGGTATTTGGACCAGTAACAACTAACGTTTCAAAATTATTACCAAGTTTGCTTAAAAGTAGACGTGGTGTTCACATTAATTTGTTCCAAAACTTTTGCTGTTAACATTGCAAGCTTTCTAAGCATTATTTTTATGCCAGTTTCACAGCTTTATTAAGCAACCTGTGCTGATACTTAGCAATCCATTCTTTATTGACTTCTGTAACCAATAGGGATTTTTATTATTTTTCACTTGTCTATTTAATAATGTGAAGGCAGTACTGATCCACATGCTGGTTTAGCTGAAGGGCAAATGGCATTATTACCAGTAATAACTGACTGTTAATAAATTGTCGTATGTCAGCTAAGCCATGGTAGTGCTATATCATAGTACTGTTAGCTCTTATAAATCATTCAGGTTAGCCTAAACTTTTTAATTCTGTGATACTTGTTCATGGTCTCTGAGTCTAGCTTATTCATATACAAAGCCTGGCCAGGCATCCTGAAATGTTTGGTTATATTCTGCCTTTTCATTATAATGACATACAGGTCTGTTTCAGCTAGGCAGAGAAGTCTGTTGCATTTAGTTTTTGGGGTTTTTGCCAGTTCTAACAAAGGTGTCCGAATAAGGTCATTGTCTTCAGTGGGACAAACTAGTGGGTTTTTTTGGTAGTTCAGAACAATGGTGCCATACGTTATAACACACATATACACTCTTATTATTATCAGACTTGTACAGAATAGAATATGAAACCATACAGGATAGATGAATTGTGCCTTCTTTGACTCACACATTGTAGAATGGTAATTAAGGAAAAATTTATAAAAAAAATGCTTTGCGGTACTCTGCAGTTATTTGACATATTTGCTCTCAAAATATTATAAGAAATGAAGAAGCTTAGAAAACCCAGAAGACCAAGAAGAATGAGGAGAGAAGAGTATGATCAAGATGACATGGATGGTCCAGTCATAGACGAGTCTGTGCTGTCAGCAAAAGAACTTCTAGGGCTCCATCAAGCTGAAGAACGATTGAAGCGAGACTGCATTTATAGACTAAAGAAGGTGCCACTGTCTTTACTTATATAGACACTTCCTCTTTTTTTTTTTGCTTATAAATACAATACAGAGGGTACACTTTGAGCAATTTATCTGAATGTACCTAGAAAAGTTAGTTATAGAATTTAAGTAACATAAAACTGGGTGCTGTTAGTGAATTGTCAAGAGAGGGAGGGTTATCCTTTGAGTTTTTCTCCTAGAATGAATACAAGCAATTCAAGCACAAAAGTGTCTGTTCCTTTAGTTCATGAATTAGCATTGGATGTCAGTTAAAATGCTGGAGCAGTTTTTTGTTCAGTTAATATATTATTCCATGGGCATTGGGTATTTGCTACTGTGAGAAACAAAATGTTGGACATAATTGACACAGTACCATCATTCTTGTGGTATTATATTTGATATTCAAACTTTTGGACTGTAAATGTGGAGTTAGGAAAGCTTCAGTGAGTGGTTCTGGATTTCAGAGTTAGTCATTCAAATTAGCAAGTGAATGAAGTGAAGGTAATGCCTTGCTATATTTTTGGGTGTTTTACTGTCTTTATTTTAGCAACTTCGAAGCTACCCATCAGCAAAATATACCTGCAAATTATGTGATGTTTTGATGGAGTCAGTGGCTTTTGCTCATAAGCATATTAAAGAGAAGAGACACAAGAAGAGCCTAAAGGTGAGTGAAGGACAAGAAAAAGTGGAAACTGTAGATTTATGAAACTTTCCTCACCCCATTAATGACAGTGAAATTGCACTGCTTTTAAAATCATTCTGCATTTATTTTTTACCATGTTTCAGTCTTTTAAAAACTATTGCTTAGTGATATCACTAAAATAGATTAGATCTGGGACCTGGACTTTGCAATGAGGAGTAGAATTAAGCAAATATATTTGTTATGGCAGAATTAGAAATTATAATCTATGTGTGAGAGTGAAGATTTCAATTCAGAAATACTCTAAAAATTAAGCACTTTTGAAGTATTACAGATCTGTTTATATGTAAAGGAAATAGGTTTGTTTCGAACATAGGCATCAAAATAACTTCCAGTATAACGTGAGTTTTACTTGACTTCTAGTTTCTCAACCCGAAGTGGACAAAAATGTCTTACGCAGGCTTTATATTTCTTCCTCTTTAACTCCTACCTTTTCACACCACATAGGTGATGAAAGATTTGGTGGTTTGGTTTTTTAGCATACCAAATACACACATACATATACCTCTGCACATTGCTGAAGCTTCCTGCACTATCAGTTTCTTCATAGCTGACACAGTTTCTCTCTTGATGTTCTTGCTTCCAATTAGCTATGTTATCTGAAAAACCTGTGGTGGTGTTACTTGGGATGAGTTGTTGGCATTCATTCTAGCATGTTAAGCAACTCAAGAAAATAATTACAACATCACTCTTACTATCTTTAAAGGAAAAGCAAGAAGAACAGCTGCTGACTGCTCTGCCTCCTCCAACACCTTCCCAGATACAAGCTATTGGTGTTGCTATTGAAAATGTAGTGCAGGAGTTTGGCTTAAATAATGAAGATCGAGAAGAAAGGCTCAACATTAAAACAGTGATGGAAAACTTACTGCGCCAAAAGTTGCCAGGTATTATTTGCAATTTGTTTTAAATGTTAGATATGTCAAGTTAAAACAGTGACAACAAAAACTATGCAAACAAAAAAGAAATCAACCAAAAACCCAAACCCCCAACAGCTTATAAAGTGAAAACGTAATTGAAAACCTTGGCTAAGTAAGTTCTAAAGCAGCATTTTTTGCTGCTGGTCTGTTGAACGACATATGTGTTGGTTTTGACTGGAGTTAATTTTCTTCACGGTGGCTAGTATGGGGCTGTGTTTTGCATTTGTGCAGAACACAGGTTTTATAATGCAGAGATGTTTTTGTTGTTACTGAGCAGAACTTAGACAGAGCCAGGGCCTTTTCTGCACAAATGTTGTATGGGAAGTAGCTTGCCAGGTAGCACTTCTGCAGAACGAAAGCAGTGCTGAGAGAAAGGCAAACCTCTCACAGGGGTGCACAAAGGGAGGGTCTCTCTGAGGGCTCTTGGTTAGGAGCTGCAGTGACAGGACAAGCAGCAATGGGTACAAATGGAAGGAGGTAAATTTAGGAAAATTTAGGTATTAGGAAGGGTTTTTTTCCTGCAAGGGTGGTGAGACACTGGCACAGGTTGCCCAGGGAGGCTATGGTTGCCCCAAACCTGGCAGTGTTCAAAGCCAGGTTGGCTGAAGCCTTGAGCAACCTGCTCTGTTGGGAGGTGTCCCTGCCTAGGGCAGGGGGTTGGGATTAGATGATCTGTAAGGTCCATTCTAACCCCTAAAATTCTATGATTCTTTGGTTCTCCTACTGCCACTTTACAAGGAAGTTGGGAGTGCATGGGAAATTGGGAGGAGACACAGTTGGGACAGGTGACCCAAACTGACCAAAGGGATATTTCATACCATATGACATCATGCTCAGTATATAAAGTGGGGGCAAGAAGGCAGAAGGGGAAGACATTTGGAGAGATGGTGTTTGTCTTCCCAAGTAACTGTTAGGCATGATGGGGCCCTGCTGTCCTGGAGATGGCTGAATACCTCCTGCCCATGGGAAGCAGTGAATTAATTCCTTGTTTTGCTTTGCTTTTGTGTGTGCCTTTTGCTTTCCCTATTAAACTGTCTTTATCTCAACCTGTGACTTTTCCAGCTTTTGCCCTTCTGATTCTCTCTCCCATCCTGCTGGTGAAGGAGTGAGCTAGTGACTGTGAGGCTGCTGGATGGGATTAAACCATGACATATAGCAATGTAATTTTCAGAATTCAGTTATAATAGTGCTCATAACAAACAGACCTGTAGTGAAAAGTGGAGATGAACAGGACATGGGGGAACATTTGAACCTCATGACCCTTTACTAGCAACAGTATGGAAGACAGTAAGAGTTCTGTGCTATTGAAGACCTTTCTTCATTTACTGTGCTTTTCAAAACTAGGCATAGGTTTGAGATACTGACAATGCTCTAAAGTAGCTACACAGTTAGAATTAGGTATAGAGTAAATGCAGTGTATTTCGTTTTGTTGCAGAGTGTTCATTGAGATTGTATGGGTCCTCCTACAGCAGATTTGGTTTCAAAACTTCAGACATAAACATTGATATCCAGTTTCCTGCCAGTGTAAGTAAGACCATTTTATTAAGTATGTCTAAGTGGTTTTGAATGTTTGCATACTTATATAGATTATAGTTTAAATATATCTTACAGTGTAGTAGTAACACTTTTTCTGAAAACCCACTGGGTAAAACAGAGCTGGCCTGGTCTTCAAATAACATGCATTTCTTCATACAACAGTAGTGATCAGGCAGTATAATACAGATTTGTGTTTTATTGAATCTTACTTCTGAAAAATGGAAAACACTTAGAGCATCTGTACTCTAGCAGTCTTGTGAGACAGATCATTATTGATCTTCTTTTACAGTTGGATTAAATGGCACTTCTGTGATCTTGTTTCTGTACTGATATATGCACATTTTGACTGCTGGGTTATATTTGAGCCATGAAACCATCTTTTGTTATGTATATGTGGGGTAATTTAAAGTCTTGCTTTGTCATGCTAGTTCTTTCTATGTCTCTTTGTGCTTGAGTGTTGAAAAGGAGTTAACGACTTGTTTCCATACTCAAACTTATTCCTGGTGTAGTAGATTGTTAGAATTTAGCATTTCCTCTAGGAAACAAAGAATGATCCAAGTTCGTAAAGTGCATATAGTTTTTTGAAAGGTAAATCCAGTCTTTGATGTGATGTAAATTCATTGTGTCAGAACACAGTCATATTTAAACACATTGCAGTATTTATTGTTGTGGGTTTTTTCCCAATAACCAAGCCTTTGATAGAGGTGAAAATAACTTGACTTACAATTACTCCAGTATTATTTTGTATTCCTTTAAAGTAAGCTGAGTTCCTGTTCATTTTACAATTTAGAAATAGCCAAGTATGCCTAGCAGCAATGTTTGAAATTGAGTTGTAGAAAATCACCTTTTTGACAGTTATGGAAACAGCTTTATTCCCTTTATTGACAGATGACTCAACCAGATGTTCTTTTACTTGTGCAAGAAAGTCTCCATAACAGTGGTAAGAGAAAATTGCAGCCTTCTCAATTCCATTAAATTATTACTGCTTAGTTGTTGAATTTGATCTATGTTGAACAGGTAAACCACATGGTATTCTTGTTTTAGGTAGATATGAGACTGAAAAGTACTGCAGGAAAGAAAACATTGGCAGAACTAATTTTGGCTTGGTATTCAGTTTTATGAGGCTTGAAGTTCCATTGTTTGTGATGATATGAGAAATTCCTAGTGAGAGGCTTTCTTCTCCATTGTAAGTGAAGATGTCATTACACGTCAGGTAGACTGCTGTCTTTCTTTGCCCAGACTGCTCTGTTAGCTATGCATAGTACAGAAAGTAGGCTAAGCTCCGTAACATGTAGTGGGCACTTGGTAATGTACTTTCACATTGCGGTCTCTTTTCCTGTAATTATGTGCACCTGCCTATTGGTGCAGTGAGGCCATGTACAGATGAGTGTATACAGACATGTGCGGTTCTTTCAGGTAATGAATGCAACTCTGTGCATTAATACAGGGAAGTAAAGTTTAAGGTGTTAAACAAAAATACACCTACCCAAATGAAAAAAGTTAAAATATGAGGGGAAAGCGAGCTGTCCTTTTTAAATGCAGGTTGCAGAGAGTAGCTTTACTGCTTTATTGCCACAGTTGGGAAATCAGAGCATACGGTTCCAAACATGTGTATTAAACATGCAAGTACTCACTGACGTAGATTTTTTGCATTGCCACCCCCACCCTCATTATATGTGTATTTTATTGTCTGGCCAAATGACCATTATGGTCTTTGAGAATGGGATTATTTTTCAGCCAGGTTAGAGGAATGAAGACCCAGATCTTGTGAGAAGCTAGGATCTCAAATGTGTTTTGAAAGCAAGTAATATTTGCATTAACATCTTGTGCAAAGCCTTTTCTATGAGTGAGAAGGTTTAGGGACAGAGCGTTAGGTGTTTGAGGTACCCCAGTGGCAAAAGCAAGATATTCTTCACAGCAATTAGGTGTCCCGTTGGCTAGGTGACACCAAGAAAACCTTGTCATTTCAGAATTTTTGAGTTGAGTATCTAAAATTGTTTCATATTTTCCTCTCTTCCTGTCCCAGTGGAAGAGTGAGGTGTCAAAAAATAAGCTCAGTTTGGATCAGTAAAGCCACTCAGATAAGAACTGCAGTAGTATCTGTACTTTTTTAGTGTTAAGATGAAACTGTAGCTGAATCATATTTGGAGATTATATAAAGAATAAGAAGAGAAAAATTGAAAGGATCTTGTCATTAAACCTGTTCTATACTTACATAGGGCATTGTCAGAGAACCAGGGAAAGCAAACTTTGCTAATTTCTTCTTGCATAGTACTGATGTAGCAGTTTTGTTGTCTGTCACGCTGATGCTGTTTCACAGGTGCTGTTGATCTGTCTGTATGTCTGAATTACTGAAGCCAGCCCTCAACCAATACATATCTCCTTAATTATACTTCTGTGTATATAGGAATTTTGGAAATTCTGGTTTTATATAGTATTTTTTAATGGTGCTTATTGCATAGGCCATACTCTTCCCATCACATGTGAAACACTTAAATTAATCCTGTCACTCTTGCAAATCATCAGGTGCACAGAGTTAATTTTCTTCAAAACTAGTCATTGTATTAGAAGCTGACATTGTGGCTGTACTTCTCCAGTTGCATCCAGTTTGGCATATTTTTTGTCAACACCTTGCTTAATGTGACTTCTCCTTTTCCTTTTTCCCACCTAGAGTCTTTTACGGAAGTTGACGCAGATTTCCATGCTAGAATACCAGTGGTGGTGTGCAGAGAAAAACAAAGGTCTCAGTTGTCACTTTGTGTGTTCTATTAGTATATGGCAATGTAAATTGTATGTACCAACATCTGATAAATGATGTTTCTGTACTAAATTAGTACAGTTCCATGGATCTTGAAACACAAACTAGCACTCATGGGCAAGTCATTCCTAGCCTAGAATACAAGGGTAAGGGCTGTTCTGTCCTCAGCTGTGTATTTCCCAATCCCTTCAACCATTATGGCTTCCAGCATGTACCCTTACCCTTCCATTTGGGAAAAGTGCTTAAGGAGAAACTTTCCTTCGTTACTGGTAGTGTACATACCATATTAAATTATGGATTTTTGTAACAGCAAGATCAGCTTACTCAGCTTCACTAGTACTTTGAGAACAAGTGGAAGATAGTTAATTTGCCCATTTAATGGATATTAATTAAGATTCATGAAACATTCTGTAAACAATTACTGATACAAAAATATTGCCGGTTATTTGCTACTACCTTGATTTCTCAGTGTTTGAAAATATTTCATGTGCTGTGGAAATGGCATAAAAACTATTTGCTCCTGGGTGTGGTATAGGAAGATACTTTTGTTCTATGAAGGAAATTAATGGTGTCGCTTTTTTAGTTCAGTAAATTAATATCGTTATAAGTAAATATTTACATTTGAATCGTATCTTAAAACACTTTTACAGAAAATTATAATGCATTTATTTTCAACCTAACCATCAGTCCAATTGGTATTTCATGCTGCTTTCCATGTAGAGATGCTTTTAAGTCTTTCCTTACAGCCTTCTGCTACACTTTTCTGTGAGATGTTACCTGACCTATGGCTGTTTCTACAAAAACCACCAAAATCTTTTGTTTCTTTTTGGGTTTTAGTGGCCTTATTTGTAAAGTGAGTGCAGGGAATGAGAATGCTTATCTGACAGCAAACCATTTGGCTACACTTGGAAAGCTGGAGCCTACTGTAGTACCTTTAGTAATTGCCTTCAGGCACTGGGCAAAGGTAAGAGTCATTTGTATTCCCTCAGCTGTGGATAGATATTGAATGAACTTTGATATTATGTTGGTAAGACTGTAGTTACGGTTTAGAAAACAAGTTGTTGAAACAGTCCTTGTAAAAAGAGTTGGAATAAGGATATAGTTTTTTGTAAATTGTAAATTTTATAAACCATATAACTATCATTTATGTGTAATAATGTTCCACTAAATTTCAAAAGTGGAATTTTAAGCTTCATTCAGTGGCATGCAGACTGTAAGTATCCTGCTCTGTTACCAAACAAGTCAGAGGGAATGTGTATGAAATTGAATTGCCAGTTTCCCAAAAACTTAATTCATCGTGAAGAAGAAGGAAAAAGCTGCCTGTCTCCACAGTAGGTGAAAACCTTCTTGTAAATTAAAATAACCTGTTCTAAAACTTTGAGTGGCTGTAATTAAAGTCTTATTTAATTGAAAAACTTTTGACTTGTACTGTGTCTACGTATAAAGGAGTTCTCATTTTTTGAAAATGTGCTGTATGCTGTTTTGCCAGTCTGCATCCTTTGACTCTTGCACTGAACGTATTATGGTAGTAACATAGCTTCAGTAAATAGACAGGCCTTGAGATCAAATTCCATCTGCTAAGAACTCAGAGATATCTGAGTTTCTGGCATTATTTAATGTGACAGACCTCTGACCAGGAATTAGAAGATTATTCATAGTATCACTCGAAACTTTAATGACTGCACAAATTGTTTTCACAGTTGTGCTGTGTTGATCGTCCTGAAGAGGGAGGCTTGTCACCTTACGTGTTCGCTTTGATGGTTATTTTCTTTCTACAACAGAGGAAAGAGCCTTTTCTACCCGTTTATTTGGGATCATGGGTATGTGTATTGATACACTGAATAGTATGAATAAGAGGACCAGTTGCTTGTGGTGGTGTGCAGTCTGTCAGCATCTTGCTATTCTGAACACACCATAAACAAGCCATTTCTGCAGGAGCTAAGAAAGAAAGTGAATTCATCCAGTCTGCATCTAACCTTTGTGTACCTGGCTGTAAGGATGCATTTCACAATCCTAGTCACTAAGTGCTCTGTTGCCCCTTTTGTGAATAAGAAGAGCTGGGCATTGAATAATGTGTCTTGCAACTATTTGCTTCCTCATTGTTTTTCAACCTTATTTCCAGACTTTTGAGAACCCAATCCACATAGCTATATCCCAATAATATCTTGGAATTTGACATGGAATTCTTAAAAGCAGAGACCACATTTGGGGATCACACTGGTGTGACATGTGCCCAAGGGATCAGAGTAGGAGTTCTGAGCATGTATTTCTTGGGTTAAGAAACTGAAATGTATCTTAATATCAGGAGTTCTATTATGGATGCTAATCCAGAATCCAATTCTCCAGGATGCCATTTAAGTGTTATATTCATGGCAACCATTTCTGTTGTTAGTCACTTTTTATATTTAGTGTACAAATTCCAGTTTCTGTAACCAGTTACACGGATCTTGCAGTTAACAATTTACCTCAGTATGTTATTGACTCATTCCAAAACTTCTCTGCTCTGAACTGGATGAGAGAAATGTCCTGTTAACTGAAAGATAAATATTTATGCTTGTCTAGTGTGCAAGGACCACAGTTGGGCTGTCTGTTCTG